AATATATATGAAATTCTCTGAGAATTTCTCTGGACCAATCCAATTTTTTCTGAAATAGAGTACTAATCCTCATTATTGTCCAGAGAAATTTGGATTTTCTCTACAATGTGTCCAGAGAAATTTGAAATTTTCTCTGTGATATATCCAGAGGATGTTGAGGGACCTTAGACATTATGAAAATATTGAATGTCCTTTATGCTATAAAATCTTAATACCATGGACCTTTAAAAAAAATCTCCAATTTTATACGAGTAAATACTGATTTACTAGTTTCTCTTCCGTGTCTTGTTAGAGCTACTCAAATTGAATCATTGTTCAATTGGAAAAAGTGAGTAAATTGATCTAGTTATTTTCGGGATGAGAAGTTATTTCATAGGTTGTACTTGCGAGATTGTTGTGTCTATCTTATAATATGGAATAATACTATATGTATTAATTAATGTACATATTAGAATACTAATAGATGATGTGATATTATTTATATGATTTTAGATATTTATAACTTGTATAATAAATGTGGTCAATAATAATATCATAATACTAATTGATACACTATTATGTACACTAATTGGCGTATATAACACCACCATATAATATGAGAACATATAATTAATTTGCTTAAAATATAAGAGATAAAGTAAAAGAAATTAGTTATGTGGCCTAATAATATAGACCACATAGGACATATAGCTCTGACCTATTACGCAATTTATACTTCTAAACGGAGGAGCAAGGATCTCCTACTTGAATTTCTTACTTGACTCCCTATTTGATAGGGTAATTGGGTTCATTTTTAGGCTTAATTTCGATGATTCGAACTGTTCACATTTTATAATTTGTCATGTATGTCATTCCTGTAAAAATTTAAGTCGATCGGATATTAAAAATCACGTGAACTAAAAATTTTATTAAACAATAAAACTGTTTATTAAGTTTTTTTTAATAAACGGTTTTTAGTTCTTCCGATATTCAATCAATTTGATTTTTTACAGGTATAATGTACATAACAAATTATAAAATGTGAACGATTCGGATCATCAAAATTGGGTCCAAAAATAGACCCAATGACCCATCAAGTAAGGAGTCAAGTAAAAAATTCAAGAAGGAGCTCCGTGCTCCTAAACGGAGCGGGAGAAAGAAGAAGATTCTCAAACGATGAAAATGATCCAATAGCTTCAAAAGAATTGAACGAGAAGTGATATGAGGTGAAAATCTCATATACAGTCCTATAGATTCTATTGAATGAATTTGTTTATTTATTTGTAGTATTTTTTTAAACGTATTTACTTATTATTTTAACAATAAATTTTTTAAGTCTTTTTAAATGTGTTTTGTTGTGGAATGATCATTTAATATTAGTAATGACATTAAAAAAATTATTAAAGTGATAAATTATTAAGATATTTTGGCTTTTATTTATAAATTTTTATTTATTTTAAATTTATTTGTGTTAATTTAGATTGAAATATGATGTGAGAAGTATAAATAATTGAAGTGTACTTTTACTTTCTTTTTTTTTTTTTTACCGTGATAAATTAAATTAATCACTTAAAATTAGAATACGACTTTTTAATAATTATGTCTAATCCACAAGCTCGTAACTGTCCCATACAAATACATGCAATGAGGAATCTTTTTTTTTTATGAAAAATGAGTGAGAGCACTAATTAGTGCTATCACTAATGATGTGGCAGTGGGCCCCACCAGAAATGATTTGATGTTTTGGTTTTGGTGTTGTATTTTTTTTCTTTTTTTATTGAGTGTCATGTCATTAGTGGTCTTTTTAGAGCTCTAAAATTAGTGGTCTCTATCATTGTTGTTTTTTTATTTCAATAATGCTTGAGGTCTCAAATTTGTCTCGAATTCTTTTTTTTTTTTCTATTCTTTTTTTTTTTTCCTTCTAAGGCTGTGTTAGTTTTTTTTTTTTTTCTCTCTCTCTTTTCTTTTCTTTTTGTAAGGGTGGTTATGTATAAAGGTGTGTTAGAAAATTAGACATTCTGCAAGTGAGTTGGGTTGGACTGATTGGGTGATAAAATTGACTGATTATTTTTTTTATTTTTTTTTATTTGTTGGGATGTGTTGGTTTGCTTCTTTTTTTTTTTTTGTAAAGGTGGTTATGTGTAGGGGTGTGCCAAAAAACTAGACATCCCGCACCAACTCATCGTATAAAATTATATGGAATTAACGAATTTTAACCAGCAGTCTAACTGATCAGTCAATTAGGTTGGACGTTGAGTGATAAAATTGACTGATCAGTTAAGTTGTTGGTTAAATTTTATTAATTTCAAAAAATTTTATACGATGAGTTGGTGCGAAATGTCTAATTTTTTTGACACATCCCTACACATAACCACCCTTAAAAAAAACAAAACAAACAAAAAAACTAACACACCCCCCCCCCCCAAAAAAACAAAACAACGCATTTGAGCAAATTTGAGGGTTTTTTTTTTTTTATAAACACCTTGAATTTTTATTTATTATGGTCTTATGAAATATTTGAAATTTTGAATTTGATCCAATTATGATTGATAAGTCCTAAAGAACCTATTGTGTCCAGTAAAAACTACTAAACACCTTATTAACATGATATAAATATCATAAAAGATAGAGATCCAAAAATATATATATATGCTAAGAAATTTATTCTAAATTGTGATATGTAGTACAGATTTAATTCTTATATAGTGAGACTCACACGTGAAATAAATCTTTGGAATAGAAATTCTAAGTTCCTCACAATGCAGTATAATAAATATATGCAATGTGGCACCTTCTTTTTTCATTTATTTTTAAATTTTTAATTTTTTTTTTTTTTTTGGCTTGAGCTTTTATTTGTTGTGAACTTACAAAATAGTTGAAAATTTGAACACATTCTTTTTTTCTTTTTTCTTTTTTGGGTAAGTAATTCTAAATATTTTTTGTTAATTGAGTTGTGATTTTATCAAATATTTGAAAATTTGAATTTGATCCTAGTTTGAGATAAAAAATATATATATATCACGATTAGATTGTAATGAATTATGTTTAAGGCTCTAAATACATGTTTAATTATTTTTGTTAATTAATTTAACTCAATTAGTTATTTAATCAAGTATGTGCAAACAACTTTTCATTCCAGATTAAAATTAAAAGAGAGACTCTCTAGGACATCTTTTGACCACACTGCTACTGCCATCACGAATCCACCGCTACTCCTCCACCAACACCACCGCTAATTTTAAAATCACAACCAAATAAATATATATAGACAGTTTTCTGTAAGAAATCCTTAAGTTAAATTTTCCTAATTTCAATTGTAGGAACACATGCTCTTGGCATGAGTGATTGAAACACATTGAAATGTAAATCCAATAGCCTTGAATTTGACAGTTTAGTTCTATAGTTATAACTTTTTAAATTATTAATTTAAGAGAATTTTAAAAAAATATCCATCTATTTGATTCAACTTTTAATGATACGTCGAAAAAATTAAACTTGTTTAATTAAATAAATTGTTACATAGATTTTTTGTTATATAAATATTTAGAATAATATCAAAAGTTGAAAAGTTGAAAAAGTTACAAAAAGATGAGATCTTTTTTTGTTCCCAAAAAAAAAAAGTTGGAAAAGTTAAAAACACTACAATTTAAAATTATGATAAATTACACTTTACACCAAATTTCATTTTAATTACTACACATAAAATCATGACAATTAACTCTTACATTTTTGGTCATGTGTCAATGACCCCTTCTCTTACTCCACTATGAAGACTTTAACATAAACCAATCGTGTAAAGAGAAAATTATCCACATTTTCCACCTATACATATTTTGTCCCATGTGACATGTGAGAGTTATATAATACAATACATTTACATATATGTTCATATTTTGAAAATATGGATGAAGAGGGAAGAAAATAGAGCTGTTGAATCACGAAATGTAGCAAAGAAATCTAAGAGAAAGAAAGATGAATGGACGAAAGATTGTCACTGTGAAAAATAAAACTTCGTAATTTTCATTTACACAAAACCCTAATTCATCTCCTTAATTGTTCATAATCTGCATTTTATTTCATTCAGATACAATCCTAATTAGACATAAATTTTGAGACAAAGTGTGATAGACAGAAAATGGGGGTGATTTTTTTCCCTTACCCTCATTTCGTAGTCATATATTTATCACATGACTAATTTCTATTAAAGAGTAATACAGTGAAGTAACAAACAAGGGCATTAACAGTATTAGTCAATATTTTTTGGACAAAATATACTTTCCACACCCCTACATTTTACATCCAACTCACTTTGCTCCCAAGCCTCTTAATTAGCTCAGTCACTCCTAGACTTTGAATCAAGTAGCAATTTGGTCCATTTACTCCTAGGTTTAATTATACTTAACAACATTATACTTTTATCAAAATCCTCTTTAGTCTTAACTTCTTTAATTTACCAAAACCTCAATTTAGTATCTACAATTTAGTTTCTCCGTCAATTCTTAAAACAATGTCAATTCTTAAAACAAGGTTATTTGACTGGATCCAATTGTAACTTAACTCGAAATGTAGGGATCAACTGAGAAAATTAAAAGATTATAGAGCAAAGTGATATTCAGTGTGAAATTCAGGGATGAAAAGTGTAATTTACCCCATTTTTTTTTAAACAAATGAATTAAATAAGTCGACTCTTACCAAACAGAGCCGTTATTACTACAAGAAGAGACCAGCACAAATACACAGAATGGAGGTGCTAAATTAAGGTGATTCTCATGTCACCCTTTCTGTGAGCAAATTGCTAAAAATCCTACGAACGCAAGGAACACATATTTTTTGTCAAAACAAACAGAGCGTAAGTTGAATTTCCCTACTTTCATATATGGTGCAAATACAATTAAAAAGTAAATTTGATGGGCTCAAATTTCAAGGTGATGTAGAGCACTAGTAAACAACTCCAGCTTTTAACATAAGAATGCAAGGGAGAAACACTATTATAACTATCGTAAGAGAACACTAAGAAAACATTTTTTGCCAAAACAAAGAGAGTGCAAGTTGAATTTCGCTACTTCCATATGTCAACAAAATTTAAACCCGATAGACTCAAATTTCATGGTGATGTAATGGACTAGTAACCAATTCATGTTTTTCATTATAATACAATGCATGGGAGAAACAAATTATTACTACTGTAAGAGAATAGCATGAACGCAGAGAATGGAGATGCTTAAATTAGGCAATTCCAATGTCTACACAAACATGAACACACCTCACCACTCTGAATAGGTTATTCAAACGTCATTGAAGTTTTGTCGAGTATATAACCGCCTTCTTCAGGGTGTCTTGGTCTTAGGTGGTGATGGAAGCAACTGCATAAAGGAAACATGAGATATGATTAAATACAGCAATCCATATTATAAACTACATCATAAATCCCAATAAAATTTTGGGAGAATTATAAGAAAGGCGGGAAGTGGGGGATTTTTTTTTCAAATTCATGGAGGTACAAGACTCACACAAATTTTTAGTGCATGAACCACTTGTGCTTCTAAAAGATTGAAATTATTTTTCTCATTCCCACTTTTTTGATATTCCCTCTAAAATTTTGGGCACTAACCATGGATTTAACTCTTTCAAAGCCAAACATCAAATACAAGGCAAATTATATTCAGTGGTAATTGTATTATAGATTAGTTATTCAGCTAGGATCCCATAAAAATGTTACACTTTTTTTTTAAACATATGCTGATAGCTGAAAATTCCCAATAAGTTTTACTTTTCCCATGAAATTTCCTTTGGGTCATATTAACACATGAATCAACCATCTTATACATTAGAGTTATTCAACAAGGATCCCATAAAATTGTTATACACATTTTTTTTTTTTAAAGGTACATTGATTGCTGAAAATTCTCAATGAATCTTACTTTTACCCATGAAATTCTCATTGAGTCTTATTAACACGTAACATAGTGTTAATAGGCTACGTGTTAATAGGACTCAATGGAAATTTCATGAAAAAAGTCAGGGACATATTTGATACTTAGTTGCACGAAGCAGGAGCAAGAGCGGGAGCGGGGGAACGTGGCCACTTAGAGGAATCGTAAATCAGGAGCGCTTATGTATTATTATATTTTATTTATTATAATAAATAAGAAATAATAAATTATGTCAAAATAAATAATAAATAAAAATTAGATGTTTTATTTTATAAATTTTTTAAGATTTTTTTTATTACATATGATTTAAATAGATCTCTTTTAAACAATTAAATGATTTATTTTATTTATTATATGTTAAAAAGTTAAGAAATAATAAATTCTAATAAATAATTTTTTATTTTAGACAGATTTTATTTTGTTTATGACAAATTATATTATATATATTATATATATATGATAAATTATATTTATATTATATAAAACAAATATAAAAACGGAGAGGGAGAGAGGGAGAACAGAGAATGGATTGAGAGGGAGAGGCAAAAAGAGACGAAGAGAGGGAGACGACGAAGAGAGAGAAGCAAACAGAGACGAAACAAACAGAGACGAAGAGAGATGAAGCGAAGATCGAGACTAAGAGAAGAGCGAGAGACAAAGACAGTCAAGATCGACGGTGAGAGAAGAGAGTGACGAAGACAATCGAAGCCCTGAGAGACGAAGATGATCGAGATCGACAGTGAGAGAAGAGAGGGATGGAAACAATCAAAGCCCTAGTCTCAACCCTAATCGTAATTCTTATGCGATTCTTCCTTGGTAGCGCAAAATCACGCTTCTTCCTCAGAAATGTGAGTCCCTTCCACGATTCCTGCTACTAAGATTTGATATTTTCTCAAATTTTTTAATACATCGACTTCCCAAGCCCCAAGTCAGTGTTAATAAGCATAAATAGTGTTATGCATAGAGGATAATTGTAAGAATTTTTGTCTACCTGATAACAAGAAATCAGGGAGCTAATAAATCCAAAGGCTCCTGTAACTCGGGGATTGACATTCTTGGGTGCCAGTTGAAGCAGCCCAACAGCAACCACTATATCCATGCCTGCTTTAACCAGGGCCAATGACCTCTCATTTGACTTCTGAAGTTTACTACGGTATTGCTCATTCTGCATTTACAAGTGCAAAAAAATAAAAATAAAAATAAAAATAAAACAAAAACAAAAAACAACATATGAAAAGGAAAGAGAGAAATTACAACAATCTACAAATTATGGAAGTGCACGCCACCATGCTAAAAATACCTTATGTTTATCACTGTTCTTGAGATCCTTCTCTAATTTCTTCATTGATGCAGAAAGCCTTCCAAGCTCTCCGAGCTGAAACAATTATTGGAGGAAGCACATCACACCATTTTCTAGTTTGCAATATGAAAAAGGGAAAAAGAAAAGAAATGATACAACAGGAGAAGCTCCCTCCACAAATTTAGATTTCCTAACTTATGTTCATGGTCAAAAGTCAATTAGCAGTTATTCCTCACTTTTTCACCATATTAGTTCGTTATTTACCAGATCTAGAACTGCTCTCAACTGTTTGCCTGGCCATTATATTTTTTTTTATTGAGATCCGCTAACTTTGTATACTACTCCACTGTAATTTAATGATCCATTCATAGGTCCATTGTGATCTTGAAGTCATAAAATAACAGAAAATTAACCATTGTTGCCACTGCATAACTACTTTACTTGTGAGTTCTATCCGGTATCGCTTGATACCACCTTTCGGAACCTTCTCAACAATCATGCAATCCATTCTAGAAAGATGCAGCTTAATTGACGTAATAGGCCTCCTATATAACTTGACCACAAAGTAAGGCCAAGCTACATAAGGGCCAAAAAAGGATACCAAAATATAATCAAGATGTGTCAAATCAATACAGAGAGAGAAGTGTTACCCCAAAACAATGAGCATTTTTTGAAAGGCAACAACTCTGGAACAGAGGGCGTAAAATACAGAAGCCAAAATACAGAGAGAGAAGAAGGTGGCAAACCTCAACCAAGGTAGTGCAGATTGAGGAACCCATCCAACAGTAAAGAGATATCCTGCCAATTATCTCTGCACGCTCTTTGTTCTGAATGTATTCCATCTTGTGAGTACGTCTCTTAGAAATCAGTGTAGAAAAATGATACTATATAAAGAAAGTTTGTTCCATACCTTATAAATGCCTGTCCTACTGAGCCATACAATTTGGTCAAGAAACAAGAAAGTGGACAGTAGTGCATTTTTAGACTGAGAAAAGCATTGTGGTTAGAAAGTGACAAAAAGCAAATCACAAATAAATTAGAATTCAGTCAGCAAACCATTTTGCACCTTTCCCAGCAAAACTAGAGGAAGGGGAGTTCCTGTAGCCGTTGGACTAATAAGAGCGTGCAGATCATTGACAAACTGCATGAGAAGCAACCCTAGATAAGCCCAAGAATAAAAAAAGGTATACAGACACAAGTTCTAAATCAGATTGATTTTATAACATTTTCCAAGCCAAGTCTTCATACAACTGCTTGAGGCCAGCTACAAGGACAACATTAACACAATAGGGTGCCCATGATACACCATCTCATTTATGGACATTAAGCCAGAATATACAAGTAATTTCTCCATAACTAGCCCACTATAAGGATACTTAACTATGAGACCAAAAATCTGAGTGAAAAAAAAGACATTGATCATGCTTATTAGTAAAATATACAATCAAGCCCGACCTTGAAAAGACGGAAAACTTTGCGTGCCAAGCTTGTTGATTTGTCAACATTTTGGGCTGTGCCAGGCTCTCCATTACTCAAATATTTTGAACCATATTGTATTGCCCTGCATATCTTGTCCCTGGCTTCAGCTTTGTTCAAATACAGAACCACAAGAGCAAGTTCTGTTCTGGCTACATCTAATGTACTCATTTTATCCTCAGTTTACCTGTAAATTCAAGTTTCCAGCTTAATTAGTCTGAGAAACCCAAGGAACAAACAACAACTTAACAAAGTATGCAAATTTTAGATAAAATAAATAACAGAGAGATTTTTGGTGTGTTTGGTTTGTGTTTTGAGATAAATTTTAAAAAAAAAAAAAAAAAAAAAATTAGGGAGAGAGTTTAGAAATTTGTTTTGGTTTGTTTGGTTGTATATTTTGAAAATAGTTTTGGAGTTTGAAAGTTTGGAATGATTTGATATTTTATTGTAGTTGAGTAGACGTGTGTGAGAAAAAAATGATTGAGAAAGAGAGAGGAGAGAGAAATAATGATTGATTAATGTGTAGGACAGAAAAGGTGATTTTGAAAAAAAATTTCAAAAAATTTGAAACAAACAAAATTTTGAAAATTTTTCTCAAAAATTGTATTTTGAGATACAAACCAAACAAGTCCTTTACCTCCACAAATCAACAAAAAGTCTACACAATTCAAGCTGACAATTTATTGAGATTTTTTCAATATATATAAGACGATGATAAGAGCCACGAGACATCTTTAAGATCAACCATGATTTGGTATGGAATGTTGGACAGTTAAGAAACAATGTGTTCGCAAAATGAGCATAGCTAAGAAGAAGATATTGAGGTGGATGTGTGGCAAAACTAAAAATATAAAATTAGGATTTAATTAATTCATGAGATGATAGAGATAGCATCTATCAAAAATAAAATGAGGAAAAATCAATTAAGATGGTTTGGCCATATAATAATTGTATTAGTTGGGAAGAGTGATTTTATCCACAAAGGATAATGCTAAGGGACGAGATTGACCAAAATTAATACGGGTTGAGATAGTGAGAGATTTATTTAGGGTCAAAATAATGATGGCCCTTGATCGAGCAGAATAGTGAAACATGATTCATGTAGCCAATCCCAAGTAATTGGGACAAGGCATTGTTGAATTGAGCAAAAGTGCCAGTTTTTCTCAGTACATCATCTAATTCTCGACCAATAACTAATACTAAATCCCATAATCACTTGAGACAACTCCATATCTTCAAGGTGATTAGGAGTTGCAGCAACTACGGGAGAAGAATAGTGATAGCTATTCAATATCTACATACATTAAGGTTGAACAAGGTGGACAGACATATTTAGCATCTTTATGCTACTCCATTCAATGGAAGATTACCTACAACTCATTTCAACACATTTTGCAGTGACAAAAAGTGCATCATATTTTTTGGGTTGGCTTGGGTTGGGTTAGGTTCGGTTAGGTTAGGTTGGCTAAAACTAGTCAAAGAATTATTCCCAATATCTTAAGACACAAGCATCTCAATAATAGTTACTAAAAATCATATACTGAAAAGATCGAGGGAGAAGAAGAAAAAAACAGAAAAGAAGTGCAAGTAATAATATTGATGCTCAAGAACATACAACCATAGCTCATTTATCCATTTTTAAACTTGAAGATGCATAACATCTTTGAAATCTCTACCCCCCTTTTTTTGGATAAGTCTTCATAATAACTTTGGAAGAATTATATCAAATGTAGGAAACTTCATGCAATTTGTCTTAAGCACTATACACACCAATGTCGTAGTAGGGACTTTGAAGCCTGACTTCGCCTTTTCAGGGGATTGAAGGAGATACCACTGAGCTTAAGGCAGGGGGTTGATTTGCTAAATTTTTTTGTTAATAAATCATATTTTCTCAAATAAAAGATAGTTTGGTGTAAATGTTCATATAGTTATTCTTCCAATTGGTGTATTTATTTTTAAGGGGCAGAGACAAAGGGTGTGTTTGGTTTGTGTTTGTAGAGTAGTTTTTGAGATAAAATGTGCGAAAACTTGTTTGATTTGCCTATTTTCAGAAATGATTTTGAAAAATTGTTTTGGGGAGAGAGTTTTAAAAAAAGTGATTGATTTGATGTGTATGAGAGAGAGAGAGTGATTTTGGAAAGTAGGTAACCAAACAAAATTTTGAGATTTTTTTTGAAAAAATTTGTTTGGTTGAAAATTTATTTGTAGAGAATTTTTTTCCAAAAATTTTTCTGAAAAACAAACCAAACAAGGCCAAAATATTTTGAGCACATAAATATCGGCATCAATATCTAGATTTTCTGTTCTTTGTGTTGGAATATAGTGATCAATAAACAGAAAACAATTAAAGATTTAAACTCACTCTGCCTGATAGCTGCCAAGTTGCCCAAGGTAAATTGAACACACAAATCACATAATTTTTAACTATTAAGAGTACATCAATCAAATTAAGATGAAGACAACAAGACATAGATGAAAATGTCCAGTTTTTTGTTGATATCTTTAGGAGAGCTATTTTCGCACTCGCCAATATCAGTTGATAGGATGGTAACACTCAGAGTTAGGCCTATTGTCTTGAAAAAAGACAAAAATATCCGACTTGAAATATTAGGCAAACCATAGTTTGGTCGCACAAAATATGAGTTGGACTGGAATTTCTCAATGGGCTTAAAAAATCTTGATTTCACAGAGTAATTGCCCTCTTCATTCTGGTTATGAAATCTGAATTCACTTCCACATCCATTGGTATGAAAAACATGCAAAGAATTGAATTGGAATTCCTGGCCTTAATCCTTAATCCAAGACCCAACCAAATCCAACCTAGACATGCTTATTGACGCATAAAGATAGCACTACACATCTAAAATCTCAGTCTTTTGTTGGGGATTGGCCAATTACGCCACACGTCCAAGAAATTTATAATTGAACCATTAAACACTCTTAGGTAAATTGCCACCACACATGAAATGCCTTTTCAAGTTAACCATCATCCTAACTCAGACGTCATCCAATTCAAAGCCAATAAATAATAATTAACCTCAATAGTGGATCCCTAAAGAAGTAAGTCCTAATGAAATCACCAAACAAATCCACTATACAAACATACTACCTTATCAGATATGCTCAGAATTCACATGGTGAAAACATAAACATAATAAAAAACTTAAAACAAAATTATGAAATAAACTAGAACACAAAGATACATAAACTTTACAAAAACAAACATAACAATCGAAATCATTGCAAAGTTCAACAAAAATAAATTCTTTTGATTGAAGCACAGAAAATAAAGACCTCTACCTCAACTCAACTCAACTTAGCACAGCTTTGTTTTTTATTTATTTATTTATTATTATTATTACCAAGTTTCAATTTTTTTCTGCTGCTCCTCCATTTCCTCAAAAAAAATTAGAGAACCAGACAATAGACAGCAGAAAACTAAAATAACTAAAGCCAAATAAACAAAGCCTAATCTCACACTCAATAGATGAAGCTGAAATGAAGAAAACTAGTCACAGAACCCACTAATCAATCAAATTAAACACTTACATACGAAATCGGTTCATTAATATCACAAATAAATGTCAAACAAAACAGAGAAATGCAAATAACATACAGTAGTACCTGAACTCGAGATCAACAATCAACAATCAAGACAAAGAGCTAGGGTTTGTAAATTCTATATATATAGATATATAATCTAGAGAGAGGGAGAGCGGTTATACCGTGGGGAGTGCCGGAGCTTTTGCCTCGAAATTCACACCTTCTCTCTCTCTCTCTATATATATATATAGATGTTTCTCTCTCTAAAGCATTCGCACGTTGAGCTGTGTCTGTGTGTCAAACTAGTATGATAGAGTTTCGTGGGATAAGGGCTTGTTCGGTCCCTCTTTACCAAAACTACCAAACAAATTTGCTAAACTCATTCTGTTAAAAAAAAAAAAAATTGCTAAATTCATTAATGGTTCGTTTTGATGTATCGTAAGCTTCGTAAGCTACAAAACTCTCCTTTCGGACAAATTATTCAGCTCGTTTGCTAATATTATTTTTTTAATTTAAAAGTTAAAAAATTATTTAAAAAAGTAAAAAATTAACAATTTATATTAAAAAGTCAAAAAAAATTTTTTATCTATACTTTTTGCACATCTTTTCGTAAAAATCAAAAAGTCATTCCAAATATACTAGTTTTTTTTACATTATATTTTAATTAAAATGTCAAAAAAATTACTAAAAAAAACATATTTCCAAACGAGGTTTCGGTGTGTTTGGTTTCAATTTTTTAAATTGAGTTTTTTTATTTTTTTATTTTTTTTGTTTCTAGTGAATATTTTTAAAATTTTTAGCAATTTTTTTTAGGGGTGCAACTCGGGCGGGTTCGGTCGGGTTGGGGGTCTGCCCAAGCCCGACCCGAATTGTATTTGGCACTGCCCAAGCCCGCCCAAGCCCGACCATGAACCCGAACATTGTTGCCCAAGCTCGGCCCAAGCTTTGTATTTTGAACTCGGGTTGCCCGAATTGCCCGAGTTCAGAAACCTGTAGGTAGATCTAAGGGTAGACATAAAAGATGCTAATCTAATGGTAGAAAACTAACCAAAAAAAAATAAAAAATAAAAATTAAGACTAACTCTTTTACTTAATAGAAGACTAACCAAAAATAAATAAATAAATAAAAATTAAGACTAACTCTTTTACTTAATAGAAGACTAACCAAAAATAAATAAATAAATAAAAATTAAGACTAACTCTTTTACTTAATAGAAGACTAACCAAAAATAAATAAATAAATAAAAATTAAGACTAACTCTTTTACTTAATAGAAGACTAACCAAAAAAAAAATAAAAATTAAGACTAACTCTTTTACTTAATAGAAGACTAACCAAAATAAAAATAAAAATTAAGACTAACTCTTTTACTTAATAGAAGACTAACCAAAATAAAAATAAAAATTAAGACTAACTCTTTTACTTAATAGAAGACTAACCAAAATAAAAATAAAAATTAAGACTAACTCTTTTACTTAATAGAAGACTAACCAAAATAAAAATAAAAATTAAGACTAACTCTTTTACTTAATAGAAGACTAACCAAAATAAAAATAAAAATTAAGACTAACTCTTTTACTTAATAGAAGACTAACCAAAATAAAAATAAAAATTAAGACTAACTCTTTTACTTAATAGAAGACTAACCAAAATAAAAATAAAAATTAAGACTAACTCTTTTACTTAATAGAAGACTAACCAAAATAAAAATAAAAATTAAGACTAACTCTTTTACTTAATAGAAGACTAACCAAAATAAAAATAAAAATTAAGACTAACTCTTTTACTTAATAGAAGACTAACCAAAATAAAAATAAAAATTAAGACTAACTCTTTTACTTAATAGAAGACTAACCAAAATAAAAATAAAAATTAAGACTAACTCTTTTACTTAATAGAAGACTAACCAAAATAAAAATAAAAATTAAGACTAACTCTTTTACTTAATAGAAGACTAACCAAAATAAAAATAAAAATTAAGACTAACTCTTTTACTTAATAGAAGACTAACCAAAATAAAAATAAAAATTAAGACTAACTCTTTTACTTAATAGAAGACTAACCAAAATAAAAATAAAAATTAAGACTAACTCTTTTACTTAATAGAAGACTAACCAAAATAAAAATAAAAATTAAGACTAACTCTTTTACTTAATAGAAGACTAACCAAAATAAAAATAAAAATTAAGACTAACTCTTTTACTTAATAGAAGACTAACCAAAATAAAAATAAAAATTAAGACTAACTCTTTTACTTAATAGAAGACTAACCAAAATAAAAATAAAAATTAAGACTAACTCTTTTACTTAATAGAAGACTAACCAAAATAAAAATAAAAATTAAGACTAACTCTTTTACTTAATAGAAGACTAACCAAAATAAAAATAAAAATTAAGACTAACTCTTTTACTTAATAGAAGACTAACCAAAATAAAAATAAAAATTAAGACTAACTCTTTTACTTAATAGAAGACTAACCAAAATAAAAATAAAAATTAAGACTAACTCTTTTACTTAATAGAAGACTAACCAAAATAAAAATAAAAATTAAGACTAACTCTTTTACTTAATAGAAGACTAACCAAAATAAAAATAAAAATTAAGACTAACTCTTTTACTTAATAGAAGACTAACCAAAATAAAAATAAAAATTAAGACTAACTCTTTTACTTAATAGAAGACTAACCAAAATAAAAATAAAAATTAAGACTAACTCTTTTACTTAATAGAAGACTAACCAAAATAAAAATAAAAATTAAGACTAACTCTTTTACTTAATAGAAGACTAACCAAAATAAAAATAAAAATTAAGACTAACTCTTTTACTTAATAGAAGACTAACCAAAATAAAAATAAAAATTAAGACTAACTCTTTTACTTAATAGAAGACTAACCAAAATAAAAATAAAAATTAAGACTAACTCTTTTACTTAATAGAAGACTAACCAAAATAAAAATAAAAATTAAGACTAACTCTTTTACTTAATAGAAGACTAACCAAAATAAAAATAAAAATTAAGACTAACTCTTTTACTTAATAGAAGACTAACCAAAATAAAAATAAAAATTAAGACTAACTCTTTTACTTAATAGAAGACTAACCAAAATAAAAATAAAAATTAAGACTAACTCTTTTACTTAATAGAAGACTAACCAAAATAAAAATAAAAATTAAGACTAACTCTTTTACTTAATAGAAGACTAACCAAAATAAAAATAAAAATTAAGACTAACTCTTTTACTTAATAGAAGACTAACCAAAATAAAAATAAAAATTAAGACTAACTCTTTTACTTAATAGAAGACTAACCAAAATAAAAATAAAAATTAAGACTAACTCTTTTACTTAATAGAAGACTAACCAAAATAAAAATAAAAATTAAGACTAACTCTTTTACTTAATAGAAGACTAACCAAAATAAAAATAAAAATTAAGACTAACTCTTTTACTTAATAGAAGACTAACCAAAATAAAAATAAAAATTAAGACTAACTCTTTTACTTAATAGAAGACTAACCAAAATAAAGATTGAGAACGCACCATTACCTTCAGGCTTCATTCAGCCTAAGTTTACGACGTACGAGGGGAAGACAGACCCTTACATGCACCTAAGCCACTTTCGCCAAGTCATGGCAGTATATCGGCGGAACGAAGCTTTGATGTGCATCCTATTCCCATCCAACCTTGGCGACCTACGTTTAACCTGGTTCGAAAGGCTACCAGAAGGTAGCATAGCCTCCTGGGCGCAATTAGCGGCGGCATTCGTGACAAGGTTCAGAACGAACACCAAGATACCAATAGAGATCGATTAGCTACTCTCCATTGACATGGACGACAAGGAGACGTTGAGATCCTACAACAGTCGTTATTGGGAGACCTTCAACCAGATAGGATATTGCCCCACAAATCTCGCCATCGCGCAGTACAAAAGAGGTCTTCCAGTCGGAAACATGCTAAGGGACTCAATTACCATGACATGCCCCCTCACAATGGAAGCCTTAATGGAGAGGGTACACCAGCACATTTAGGTGGAGGAGAATGGCGCTCGTGCTAAAACGAAGTCTGGTACAACCGCAATACCAGATAAAAAAACTTCGGCAAAAGTCAACGCGGTAGAACGTCCAAGCAGAAACGGGCGAGGCAGGCAGGACAACGGAGAGGACCACGATAAAAGGTGGTTGAGAGTCCGCACTGCCATTACCACGGTGTTCAAAAAACCGATCTATCGGATTCTCAGTGAGATACGCGATGAGCCTTTCGTTAGATGGCCAGCTAAATTAGAAGAGGCACAAAAGGACTATGATGAAAGATCGCGGTGCACCTTCCATAAGGAAAAAGGGCACCGTACTGAAAATTACACGCCGTTGAGACAACATCTGGAGGAGTTAGTAGCAGCTGGGTATCTGGACTAATACATAGAAAGAGGGACACAACCAGCCCCTCAAAACCACGATCATCCGGACGGAACGTCGATTGACGCCCCACCTCAAGGCGTGATAAACGTAATACATGGGGTATTCGAACCTAAGCGAGTATGTGAGCTCAAGGGAATAATCAAGAAGGCTGAGCACTTAAGGGAGGTATTAAGTGCGCAGCCTACCATTAAAAAAGGGAAAATAGAGGCCACGAACGTCATGTCTTTTTCAGACAGAGACTTGGCAAGGATGTACTGCCATCACAATGACGCACTGGTCGTCATTCTCCGCGTCAAGGATTACGACGTCAAACGAATTTTGATTGACCAAGGGAGCTCATGTGAGATAATGTATTACGAAACCTTCAAACAGTTGAAACTGGAGGACAAAGACTTGGCACCTGCAGTATCTCCCCTGATCGGATTCAATTCAATGACAGAG